AGTTCATCAGTACCTAGCACATAAGAGCCACTCAGTGTATACTCGTTAAGTAAGTGAATGAATTCTAGGAGATCACTGGGAGCAGACTGTGTCTTATTGATAGGTCTACTTCTAGTACTTGCAGGGCCTAACCTGAGAGTGCTCATGGAGTCTCAGTATTTAGGCGGTATAAACAAGCTATACACTGTTAAATAAAATACTTTCTATTTTCCTACCTAGATATGTTTGCTTTCATAATTGCAAAACAAACATATTTGCAAATTGATGGCTTTTATATGATTGAAAATTGGTAAAATATACAACTAAACTTAATTATCATTGCACTTGAAGAAAGCTGATGGGATGGCAATGTTTGGATGAGCATTAAAGACATAAATTCATGAATTTTGTACTTTATACATTTTTAAAATCAGACTTTATTTTTTACAATTATTTTTTCTTTCTTTAATTTCATTAGAATCATTAATTATGCTCTCCTGAGCTTTTCATAAATGTGTGTTTTATTGACAATATAAAATATTAAAAAGTATATCGAATTATACTTCACTCTACAAGAAGTAAATATCTTCATCAAAACTCTAAGTGTTAAAAATTGAAAAATTAAATTTTTCATAAGCACTTTCAAAGTTAGTTTTCTTTAAAAATATTCAAATTATTAATAATGAAAAGCAAGATACAAATTATAATTAAAGAGCTTTAACATTTAATCTCAAAATTCTTCAAATACAAATGAAATGTCTAAATTCATTTTTTGAAAATGTAATAAAATCTGTTTTGTTTTGTTTTTTTGATATGGGGTCTCACTATGTTGCCCAGGCTGGCCTCAAACTCCTGGGCTCAAGGGATCATCCTGCCTCAGCCATCTGAGTAGCTGGAACTACAAGCATGTGTCACTGCACCCAGCTCAAAAAATTAATGAAATCTTATTAAAAATATTTTATAAAAACAAAACTACTTTGCAGTCTTAGTGTTCACTGTCCATTTAGTTGCCAAAGTAAAGAATTAGTATCACTCTTCGTTTAGGTTATGATACCCATGTGCCAACTAGGGCACGTTTTGTGAGTCCCTTCAGAACCACAGGTTGGAAATGAAGTTTGATTTTAAAAATGTATAAAGTAGGTATGTAATTGACGAATTTATGTCTTTAATTCTCATCCAAACATTGCCATCCCATCAACTCCCTTCAAGTGCAATGATAATTAAGTTCAGTTGCCTATTTTACCAATTTTCAATCAAATAGAAGCCAAAAAAGAAAAAAAAGCAAGAAAGTGGATATTTGATATAAATGGGAAATGACATTTGTTTGGGGAAAGAATCATTCACATTCTGGCTAGGAGGAAGTGTGTAATAAGTTAAATAATCATTCCTTTCTCTCACCTAAGCGCTTCCACTGACATGTCCACCTCCAGGGTTGGACCTGCCACAGTCCTGCGTGGCATTCACACAGTCTCTTTTATTTTGAGGATGCAGGGCAGGGACGTGAAGAAGAACTCTCCTGGCTTGGACAGTATTACTCATAAGATTGGATATTTGCGGTACAGGTTGAGCTGCACCAACCTGAGGCCCAAGGAAGGGGTAGAAGTGCTCGTATGAATTTGAACAAATAGATTTGTGTATAAGTATTTGTTATAAGCTGGGGCCTCTGTGGCATGAGTTCCAAGGAAGCGCCCCCTCCATACCTTACTCCAGCCTAAAGGCAATATTGCTTCTTTATCTCCATCTTTGGACCCCACATTGTCTCTGGATATTTGTTGTGTAATAGCAAAGACTTGCTCATTTTACACAACTAGTGAGTGGCAGAGCTGAAACTGGATTCTAGAGCTTTCAGCCTTTAGGACAACACTCTCCCCATTTATGGTCTAGTGGTATGTGGACTTTGATTTTGGCCTGTGGAAGCAAGCTTCTCAAGGGCAGGCCTGTGCACTACGCATCTTTGTGTCCAATCCCTCTGTTAGACAGTAGTTGCTTCTAAATGTGTGTGGCATTGTACTCACAAAGTTCCCCGTTTCATAGCTATAAGCTCAAGCCAGACTCTTCTTTCAAATGATGTTAGTGCTGTATTTGGTAATCTAAGAGAAGAAAAAAGGAAAACAAGACAAAACAGAACAACAACCTCTGTGTACCAAGGATGGTCACTGAAGCACTATTTTTGTAGCCTAAGTTTCAGCCTTTGAATGTCATCGAGTCGTTTAACTTTCTGGGGTCTCTCTTCCCTTAATATATATTCACGGAAAGCCTGAGCTGCTGTCCTATCTCCACAGTGAACCCCCATAACTCCCCCGCTTAACGGGATGACTGCTGTGAAATGGAGGTGGCTTCTAAGAGACAGTGTAATCTTTTTTTGGGGTATATTGCCCAGCAGCCTCTGTATGGTCAGCTGAAGTATTCTCAATTCTGGGATCCTTCTTAGTTATGTAGATTAGGCAAGTGGACACTCCTTTCCTTGGAAAAAGGGTAGAGTTGGATATAACCAGGGTGCCCCTCTCCTTGGTGCAGAAGGGTGGAGAGGGAGTGGACCAAATTGCATAAGAAGTCCAAGGGATGTGAGGAACTGATATTCCAACCCTCTCTCCTAAATAATCAGAAAATTGTTTTTCTAACTAAAAAGTTAGAACATTGATTTGGGCACACTTGGGCCCTGACTGAGGTCTGTTGGCAGGAAGAGCAACCAGGGCCCTCTGCAGGTTTGTCTCCCTTTGTCCCTCCAGATCTGTTCTCCATCCTTCCCTGTGCTGCTCTTCGTGCCCCTGGAGGCTGACCTCATTGGACAACATCACCCAGGCTCATGCTCTCTGGCTGCTGGTTAGGACTGGCCAGTGGAAGTGCAGGTAGAAGTTGGAATATAGAGGGAGAAAGCAGCAGGGAGCATCATTCTCCTTACTCTTTCCCTGCTGAGCCATGGTTTGGGCAGTGGCTGTGTCCCACTGTGTCCTACTGCTCCTGTGGGAAACATAACCACAGCCTTTGCTAGATTCTGGTGCCACTGTTTTCTCCCCAAGGGGCAGTAATGGCTTCTTATCGTTGTTAACCCTGGATTAATCACCAACCCTTACCGATTCTCTTTACCTTACCTGTCCCTCTGAAAATTGTCCCAAATTAAACCCTCTTCACTGAACCTTTTGAATTTGCCACTTAAATCCTGATGAATAAAGCCATTGGTATTGAGGGTGACAATTGGACCCATGGAGTGAGGGCTATTATGGTAGAAGTGGCCCCATGGAAGCGCTTGGAACCGCCTCTTTGTGCCCAAAATAGTAAACCAAAAGCAATACTGCATCTTCAGGGCAATTGAATTGTGCCCCCATCAAAGACTTGCGAGATGCAGGACAGGTGGTTCTAATCATATCACTATTTAAGTCACCTGTCTAGCTTATGCAAAAACCAGGTGGATCCTAGAGAATGACTACAGATTTTCTTAAACACAAATCAGGAATTGATGCCATTTCAGAAGTTGTTCTGGATGTGGTATCTTTATTAGAGAAGATCCACTTAGCCCCTGGCACCTGGTATGCACCTAGTATTGTGCCTGGTGACTAGAACAGTAATTCGCAAAGGGAGGTCCCTGGATTAGCAGCTTCAGTGTCACCTTGGAACATGTCTGATGTACAATTTATAGAACTCCACTGAAGACCACCTGAATTAAAAATTTTAGGGGCTCACCAGCTGTGTTAGAACAAGCTGTCCAGGTGATTCCAATGCATACCGAAGTTTGAGAACTGTGGTATTAGAAATAGTTTCCACTGCATCACAATCAATACAGACAATCAGAAGGAGTTCATCTTCACCTGTTAGCAGACTGTGGCACACCATAAATGCATTACCTCAGGGATCTACCAATTCTCCTCTACCATATAATATGGTCTCTGTCATATTATATGAGACCCTTATCATCTTGACAGCCCATAGAACTTTATGATTGTCTGCTACATTGATAACATTATGCTAATAGGATCTGGTGAATGAGGACTAGCGAGTGCCATACTGCCACATGCTTGCCAGAGAGGGGAAGAAAACACATGTGGAGGTTCAGTGGCCTCCCACATTGATGAAATTTCTTGGGTTCTAGCAGTCTGAGGCCTGTTGGAATATCCCCACTAAGATGAGAAACATGTTGCTTCACCTTGTGTCTTCCACCATAAAGAAAGAGGCTCGGCAGTTGATGGATCTCTGGATTTTTGAGGCAATGTATAGAACATTTGTGTGTGTGTGTCTCATGGATTTACTGGTTACATCATAAGACCACTGGTTTTGAATGGGGCCCAGAATAATAAAGGACTCTAGAAAAGATATATCCAGACTGTGATGAAAGCTACTCTGCCGTTTGGTCCTTAAGATCAGCAGATCCAATAGTGCCAGAAGTGTCTTGCAAATGGGGGTGCTGTGTGGAATTCCTAACCATCTCCAATAGGAGAATCACAGCATTGACCCAACTGAACAGGATGGGAAGAGAGAGTCCAAGGCAGTCTTCGGGAGATATGTGTGAAAAGACATCTTTGAAGGGGCCCTGGATGTCAAGATATTCAAGGGCCATTTAAATGCCTACTGGAGGGCATCCACTGCAGAAAAGACTCTCAACGATCAGGTGGATAAGATGACCCAACTTGGGGGTGTCAGCCTCTTCCTCTGTCTACTCTGGTGTTTGCTCAATGACATCATGAACAAAGTGACTGTAGTGGAAGGGACAGAGGCTATCAACACTATGGGCTTTCCCTTGCTAAAGTCCATTGGTTTCCATAACTTCTGGATATGTAGGCTTCCAATGAATGAGACCAATGCCAAGCCCCTGATATGGCACCATTCCCAGGGATGGGTGGTGGGAGATAGACCAAACACTTACTTGGTAGAAGGTTAATTAAACTGAGTCCCTTTCATCATAGAGGGCAGTAGGAATAGACATATATTCCAGATATGGATTTGCCATCCCTGTCCCTCCCCGCCATTTGTGGTGTTTCATTCTGTTCATTTTGTGCTGCTAAAACAGAATAACACAAACTGGGTAATTTATAATGAATAGAAATTTATTTGGCTCACGATTATGGAGGCTGCAAAATCCAAGATCAAGGAACCAGCATTTGGTGAGGACCTTGTTGCATCATAAACATGGTGGAATGAATCACATAGGCAAGAGAGAAAAGGGGACGAAACACCCCCTTTCAAAACAAGCCCACTCTCGAGATAACAGCATTAATCCATTCATTCCACCCTCATGGCCTAATCACCTCTCATTGGGCCCCACCTCTCAACACTGTTGCATTGGGAATCAAGTTTCCAACATATGAACTTTGGGGGACACATTCAAACCACAGCATATTCATCTCAGTATATCCCACAAACGTGGCCTTTAAACAAGAAACCTTAGGTTTTGTGGGTTTGGAAATCTCTAGTGACCAAGAGGAACTGCTTCCACCAGGGAGTATAGTTATGGATCTGTTAAATTGGAAGATGATCTTGTGCCATCTGGGGCTCCTTATGTTGAAACATTGGCAGAGAAAGAGATCACTGCACTGTCAGGATGGTTCACCCCAATATCCAAGGGAAAGTAGGGTTTCTGATACACAATAGGGGCAAGGAGTACTAGCTTTGGAACCCTGGGATTCACTAGGGCACTTGGTACTCCCTGTATCCCTTGTCCTCATTCTGTAAGCCTGAGGTGGGGGCACGAAATTAGATTTCTAACAGGCTCCCCAGAGATGCCAATGCTGTCCATCCTTGGACCATAGTAGTTGTTGCCCTAGAGCACCTGTTATTCTTTCTGAGAATTTTACAGTGCTTCCAGGTGAGATCATCAAGGCCTCTTCATGTTCTTTAGGAATCTGTGGATACTGTGGCAACTCAATGAAGACAGGGCACCAAGAATTTGAATCCTCTGTGGATGAAGATTTGGGTCATTCCACCAAATAAAATTTTCCAACAGCTAAGGGACTGCCAGAAGGTAAAAGGGCTATGGAATGGGTGGTGGGAGAACAAGACTACAGTTACCACTCTGGGCCCCATGATCAGTCACAGAAGGGGGCACTAGCAGTTGTGCTTTACAGGAAGTGTTCCACTTACCCAGGAGTGGCTACATTATGATTTAAGTTGCAGGTGGGAATGGGACTAAATTGCTATCACCCCCAGACAATATGGTGACTGGTGAGATTTTATGTTTCCCCTGTGCTGGGGACAAAATATTTTTCTCCCATCTAAGCAAAGTTTGTGAATGGCTGCTAAGTGGTAATAGGATGAATTGTGCTGGGTTTTCTTCTTTTGCTCCAGTGTGCTGCCTATGTGGACCGTATCACTCAGGGTCCCCTGACCTTTAGCTTCTGTTGTTTTTGGCCAGTGGAAGACCCAGACAGGAGACTGGAGGGCAGGAGGCAAGAGGTCAAGGTATTTATTCCCCTGGCTCTCTTCCTACTGAGCTGCAGTGGGTGCAGGAGTTTTGATCCTCTAGCTGTGACCAGGGCTTCCATCGGGTGACTCCTTCTCCATGGCTGTAGCTCTCCCTGGGTTCTAGATCCTCCTCCTTGTCTCTCTAGGCTGAGATGGTAATAGTTTGTGGCCTGCCTGTCCCTGGGTAGTTTGTTTTAGTTTTTTATTTTTAGAGACAGTGTCTCTCTCTGTCACCCAGGCTGGAGTGCAGTAGTGTGATCCTAGCTCACTGTAACCTCAAACTTCTGGACTCGAGTGATCCTCCCACCTCAGACTCCTGAGTAGCTGGGACTATAGGTGTGCAACACCACACCCAGCTAATTTTTTAAAAAACATTTTATTTTTTGTAGATAAACAGGTTCTTGCTTATGTTGGCCAGGCTGGTTTCAAACTCCTGGGCTCAAGCAGTCCGCCTGCCTTGGCCTCCCAAAGTGCTGGGATTACAGACGTGAGCTTCCTTGCCCGGCCATCCCTGGGTGTTTTACTCTTCCCTGTTGCTTTCCATACCCTTGCCCAAACTCTGTAAATATTCTTTCATTAAACTATCTTCAGTCAGTGCTTCGTGCGTGCCATCTCTTTCCTGCCAAGACACTGAAAGCTCCCAAGGAGAACCTTCCTAAAGGGAGAGAGTCTTTGCTGATGACCATCAAGCTCATAAGTAAGGGCTGGTGTGGCTGAGGCTGTGTGTCCCTCTGGATACAGGCAACCTGTCTTTGTGCTATGATTGGACAGAATAGCTGGGAACGTGGATGTGGACCCAGATAACTCTGTGTGAGCACCTCTCCACAGGCTGGGCCACAGGACATTGTGGGTGGTCATTGATCATGTATGGCAGAACCAGTCCTCAACAGCAAGACCTAGTGGTATGAAACCACACTAGTGCACACACCAAGCTTTGCAGTTCTCTTCACTTGGTGTTTGAAAGCAGGACTGGCCCCTTTTGGATTGATTTAGCCTCTGAAGTTCTGGAAATTTAATGAGACAGGGAGACACTGGTTTTCAATTCAATAAGAACATGTAGACATTTGAGCAACTAATTAGAAAAAAACGAAATATCTATGATGGGAATGATATGCCAGGATGGTAAAGCTAGGGTCCTACTATATGTATCCAACTCTCTGAGCATCCTTAGGGGCTGCGTTTCTTCTAGTGATCATCACTCTGAACTCTTGGTTCTGCATATTTCTGCTACCCCACTTGCCTGTGGGACTGCTGGCCCCTTCCAGATCGTATTTCCCTACATGACCCACCACCGAGGTGGGTCATTGTCCCAAAGACCACTGCTGCAGAGTGGATCGTTTATCAGACTTCAGAGAGGGCTTGGGGCGACATGAAGGGAGTGTAGCTGAGCACAGTACAAGCCACAACTTAAAACTGGCCTCTAGGCATCACTGCCTGGAAAACCCACAACCCATTCTCTGCTTTGGAGAGTTCTTCTCCAGTCTGTGTTCTCCTTAAGTCCTGGGTTATGGCCAACTTCACAGGCCTCCCATTCTCTTAATACTTTTCATTTCTTCTCTGCCAACTTCTAGCCTTGAAGACTTCTGTTCATTCCTTTTGCTGATCAGTTTATCTTTCTATCCACAACCCCAAAGTTCATCTCAGCTTGCCAGAAACGAGTTGAGATGCTCTGGTCACAAAGGACCATCTCCTCTGTGCTTCAGCAGCATAATGCAACTACTGAAGCCTGAGATTCCAGTTGCTTTTTTCTCCTTAATATGATCCAGTTCTTAGATAGGTCTCCCTCCCCGCTGTGCTCCATGTGTCTCTTAGATGGAGGGAGTGTATAGTAAATATTTATTCTCCCCTGTCCTAAGCAAGCACCCTGCCTTCATCATATGTATTTTAACCTTTCTTTTTTGCTTGGAACATGTATAATAGGGAAAATGGAAGAAATCCAAGTATTTAATAATAGGAAGCTACATAATTATATATGTGTACTAGATGTCATGTTTTATGGCCATTAAAATGACAAGTGTGAAGAATGTAGTAGCAACACGAAAGTATACTTATGATGTAATATTAGGAGAAAGAGTATGATATAAAATTATATAGCAGATCATCTTTATGAAAAAAAATCTTGCATGAGGACAATGATTAGAAGGCAATATATGGACACAAATTAAAATTGCTGTTTTTTGGAGGCTTGGGTTGGGAGTGCTTTTTATATTTTCCACCCTTCCTGAAATGTTACTATTTCCCGTTGCCATCAAACAAGAGTCAAGAGATAAGGTGAAACCCATTAGCGAATCTGAGTGTGGAAAAGAATTAATTAGGACCAAGGGATTCTCAGGCAGTGCTTCCTAAACTTTAAGGTGCATAGAAACCACCTAGGGAATCTTGCTAATGTACATTCTGTACGTTGGTCTGGAGGGGGCTGTGAGTTTGGGTTTCTAACGAGCTCCTCAAGTATTGCAGAGGCTGTTTGTCCTTCAACCACAGGTTAAGTTGCACTGCCCTGGAGCACCCTCTTTTTCACCCCTGAGGGTTCTAAAGTGTGTCCAGGGGCGGTCTGGAAGACCTTTTCTTGTTCCTGGGGTCTGTTATTAGCTTACTGGGAGTTGGTTCTAGTTTACATTGTAAATGCATACTGATGAGATTTTTAACAGAAGTGCCTGGCATCTCAAGGTAGGCTTCAGAGTGAGGGCTGCTGCTGCTGAACCTGAGGCAATGCACACGAGTCTTGCTTTAGATCCTCCTCATTATACAGGGCCTTCCCTGCATCTTGGTTCACTGCCATTGCCAGCTGTCCCTTTGTGCATCCCACAATAGTGGGGATAGGGGTGGGTAGGAGAGGGGTAGGAGAGGGATGACAACTGGATATCCCCTGAAATGCTGCCTGAACAGCTGTGGCCTTGTCCGCATTCAGGGATCACCTAGTAGTGATAGTGCTTTGGAAACCCATTTTCCAGGTGGCCTGGGCTGTGGTGGGGACTAATGGCTGGGGGGCTGACAATGAGAAGTCTTGAGCTTCTTCACAGCTGCAGGTCTCTTGGATGGGGATGGAAGGCCACACTTTGGAGGGACAGAATAAACGCACTCAGAGGAAGGGGAGCTCAGGTGCTCTTGTTTAACTTCATATCATGTTACGGGAAAACTGATGACACTGGCAATTACGTAAATTGGAAGACACCACATCCCTTGAGGTCAGGTGCTAGGGAAGGCTGCTGTGACTATTCCTCTGATCAAGTGGTTCTGGCTGGGAGATTTGGCCTGTAGGAAGTAGCCCTCGGAAGTTGAGGAAAGCTGAGGATTCCAGGCTCTGTAGGGGCAGGGGGCACTCCTCCCAGCTCAGACCCCTGGCTTCTCCTGGGGTGGTGAACTCAAGAACATTCATGTTTGCCCATGTTCTCTCATTTCATCCTCACAACAACCTTGTGAGGTAGATGTTATTCCCTCACTTTACAGATGAGGAAATTGGGGCTCAGAGAGGCTAAGTGAGTTATCTGGGGTGCTATAACAGGGACGTAGAGGAATTGGGACCTGGGACCAGTTTTGTAGACTCTGCTCTAATAATTTTGCTGCAAGGTCATGGATGTAGGTGATGGAGTGGGAGTGGGGTCGAGGGCAGAAGGAGGTGGGAGGAGGGAGGGCCCGAGAAGAGTCATCATCAATAACTTCTTCCTTGCCCCCCACCTCCGACTATAGCAAATTTATAGCACATTCACTCCCCTTTCTGTCCTTTTGTTCACGAGGTATATGCAAAAAATAAACATTTTAAAATGACAAGGCTTTTCCTATCTTACAATGAGGAAACTGAGGCACTGGGAGGTGAAGTGATTTGCTCAAGGTCACATTGTAACCTGACTGATAAATGTGGGACTAGAACACAGATCTCCCCATTCAATATTTATCTCATGGACTGTGCACCCTCAGAAAGGTTACTGGGTGAAATAATTTTTGTGTGAGGAAAAATTAGTGAAAAAAATTAAATGTACAACCAAAGGAGATGATTTTTTAACCATGACCTACCCAACTGATGGTTGGGTAGTGACTGAAGTGACCCTTCAGTCACTGAAACTGGCAGCTAAGAAGAGTGTTTGATGTTGTGGGGAATATTCATGCTACCATATGAAGTGATACAACACCATGCATGGAGTATGAATTTGACTAAAAAATACAAGTAAAAAGGCTGGAAGAAAATATATCAAAATGGTGGTTTCTGGGAGGTGGAATTATTAAGTGTTATTTCCCTCCCTTTCTTTCTATTTATCTGCATTTTCCCAAGTTTCTAAAACGTACATTTTATTTATAACAGGAAAAATATATCCCTCTATATTTTAGTTTAAAAAAATACTGCTTGGAAGCAGCCCATATCCTGTGCCCTTCATGAATTTTCAGGTGAGACTCCCTCAACCTGCTTTCCCCCGTCACTGCCACACCATTGTTGGTCCGTGGGGAGGGGCTGGGGTTCAGGTGGGACCTCTTGGTTGGAAGCCTCCAATGTGCTACTTTGTATTTTAAGGACAGAGAGTCTCCTCAAGGCAAGACCACTGTTGTGTGATGGCTGGGGGGTGTCTGTTGCTGGATCCAATTCCAAAAGGTGCCCACGAGCCTGGGAAGGTGACTACCCCATCATCTCACAGTGACTCCCCACACTGGAACCCCAGCCTCCTGGGTCCTGGTCCAGGGCTCTTTTCCCCTGGCTGCTCCATGGTTGTGACACCCATGGCAGCCGGGCATTCCACGCTGGTGCTCGAGGGAGGGCTGACAGGGCTAAGTTGCACTTTCTCCTTCCCTGGGTGACCAGATTCATTCCTTGCCTCTGTGGGATGGCAGGCTGGCAGGGGACACATGGGTGCATCCTGGGGCACAGCCACCCGCAGATTGCCAGGTCCAGTCTCCACCGCCGCTGTGCCTCAGTCGTCCAGGTGCTGCTCCTCCCAGGTGGATGTGGGGATGGCACTGTAAGGGTCCATGATGACCTTGGCACAGCGGATGATCATCACGACAAGGAAGAGGCAGAGGAAGACGAAGCAGGCCAAGGTCAGCCCTTTGTCCACGTCGACATAGACGGGCTCGGGCGTGGGCTCCTCCATCTCGTGGCAGCGACTGCGGGCTGCTCCTCCTCTGCCTCGGGCTTGACTGGTACCATTTTCCACCCCTGCAGAGACAGCCACAGCAGTGGGGAAGGAGGGGTGTGGTCACGTGCCTGGGGTGACTGCAGGGCACCAACCTCTGCTCCCTCTTATCTGCTACCCCTGCACCGAGAGCTTGCTGCTCAGACCACCCTGCAGGAGGGTAGGAGGGGATGGGTACACATGGACCCACATGGTCCCAGCCCGAAACCTTGTAGGTGACCAGAGGCTCTAGCAGGGTGCAGCCAGTGCCTCCCCAGGCTGGGGCAGGGGAGGTGACAGATGAGTCCCAGCAGGTGTGGGACTAGGGTGGGGCTGAGGGCTGGGTGGGGATAGAGGCCCTGCAGCTGCCTCCACTCCATGAAACCCTTTAGAAAGGCAGTTAGGATAATGCTTTCCATTTAGACAAACCACTATCTGAGGGTAATCTGAAAGCATTTCAAAAATTAAGTAATTATGATATAGAGCATATATTTTAGAGACAGGATCTCACTCCGTCGCTCAGGCTGGAGTGCGGTGCAGTGGCACAATCATAGCGCACTGCAGCCTCCAACTCCTGCCTCAAGCAATCCTCTTGCCTTGGACTCCCAAAGCATTGGTATTACAGGTGTGAGCCACTATGTCTGGTCTATTATGTTTTTTAAAGCATAAGAATCTAGATTTCAAATGAAACCTATTGTGGAAAACCACAGAGGAACAGACCGACGAGGGACTGCTGTCGTGGAAGAGAGTGAGAGGCCTGGAGGGTCTATATCCCCTTCCCTGCTGCAGGTCCTCACAGGGACTCTCTAGAGACTCCTGCTGAGCCCAGCACATGGCCTGAAAACTGTGTGATGGGAAGAACAGTTTTGGCAGTCACATGGAAGGGTCCCAGCTCTGCCACCGCCTTGCAGTGCAGGTCTGGACAGCTCTCAATTATTGTTAGGACTCCAGCAGTAGTCCCTACACTGACACATCACTCATTCATCTTGGGATGATTTGCCAACTTCTCTGGGTCCTAATTTTCTCCATGCTGAGGACAGGTGGCCGTACCTGCTTCACAGGGGCGTGACAACCAAATGCATGGTCCCTGGCTCCAGTGGATGGTCAGTACATACTTTGGGTGAACTGGCAGCTCGAGGAGCTGGCTAGGAGGGGGCAGGCAGCTCCCCAAGTTCAGCTGCCACGGACAGCTTTAGGAGGAGGGCTGGCTGCTGCTCCCTCTCCCCACACATAGAATTCGTCCCCATCCTTATCCCTGAACTTGTGGAGTGCTTGGGCTGTACGCTATGCTTCGTGTTCTGTTTGTTATTTAAAGCTCATGACACCCCTGGAAGCAAGTTACCCAGGCATCAATAGGCCCATTTTATAAATGTGGAAACTGAGGCACTGAGCAGGAAAATGACATATCCAAGGTCCCTCATCCCACACCCTAGGTCCCTACATGTCTCTGCCTCCTCTAGTGGGGCTCCATCTTCCCCACCCACTCTGGAGCTTTAGGAAGATAGCTGTCTGTGCAAGCTTAGAGTCCGCTGGCTGGGGAAGAGCTGTAACCACAGTCAACCACGACTTCCCCTCTCTTAGACCTTGTCTCAACCCTCACCACTCTTACAGGACACTGACCTGCTGACTGGAGTGGTCACCACTTCATAAGGACCCTGGCTGTTCCAGGAGGCACAGGGAGTGGTCAGGCATCATGGGGGTCGCCCATGGAGAGCAGTGGCTGTTCACTGAGAGCAGGCGCTGTGCTGGCTGGTGGGGGCGCTGGAGTGTAACTGTAAGAGAAAGGGACAAAGAAGACTAGTTATTTCCTGAGATGCCCAGCCCTAGATAGAATGTGGACTCCCCTGGGTAGCTCCTTCCTGGCATGGGGGTGGGATCTGCCACACACTGTTGTTTGATGCTGATTTCTTCTCTCTTTTTAAAATATAACAACTTTCACGCCTGTAATCCCAGCACTTTGGGAGGCTGAGGTGGGAAGACTGCTTGAGCCCAGGAGTTTGAGACCAGCATGACAAAATCCTGTCTCTACAAAAAGTACAAAAAAATTTAGCCGGGTGTGGTGGTGCACGCCTGTAATCCCAGCTACTCAGGAGGCTGAGGCAAGAGAATCGCTTGACCCTGGGAAGCGGAGGTTGCGCCGCTGCACTCCAGCCTGGGCAACAGAACAAGACTGTGTCTCCAAAAAAAAAAAAAAAAATGTTTATACACACACACACATAAACTTTAAAAAGTGTGGCCACATACACATAACATAAAATCTACCGTCTTGACCATTTTCAAGTGTGCAGCGGCATTTTTGTGTACTGTTCAGTGGTATTAAGTACATTCACACTGTGGTGCAGCCATTGCTGCCATCCATCTCCAGAACTCTTCATCTTGCAAAACAAACTGTGCACTCATTAGACCATAACTCCCCATTTCCCTTCCCCCAGCCCCGGGCAGCCACCATTCTACTTTATGTCTATATGAATTTGACTGCTCTACCTACTTCATGTAAGTGGAATTGTACGTATTTATCTTTTTGTGACTGGCTTATTTCATTGTGCATAATGTCCTCCAGCTTCATTCATATTGTAGCATGTCAGAATTTCCTTTTTTTAAAGGTCTGAATAATATTCCATTGTATATATGTTTATACCACATTTTGTTTATCCATTTTTTCATCAATGGACACTCGGGATGTTTTCACCTTTTGACTGTGTAAATAGTGTTGTTATGAATGTGGGTGTACAAATCTCTCTTTGAGACTCTGCTTTCAATGCTTTGGGGTGTATAAGCAGAGGTGGCATTGCTGGATCATATGGTAATTATATTTTTAACTTTTTTGAGGATTAAATTGAACATTTTGCATAATTAATTGTTGTACACTATTCAAAACTCAAAAAGCACAAAAAGAAAACAGTAAAACCAGTGTTTTCACTACCCCTATCCCCAGCCATCTAGCTCATCTCCAGATAGGCAACTATTGTTATCAGGTCTTTATACATCCTTCTAATCTGGAGATATTTTATTCTTATAAAAGAAAATATGTATGTTTGTTTTTCAAATAAATGAAAGCTTGTTACATAAACTGTTCCACATCTTACTTTTAAAGTTTAACATATCGTGGAGATTATTTAACGTCAACACATAGAAGGTTGCCTCTTTCTTTTTAATGGCTGTATTGCATTTTGTTGTATGGATATCCCATAATAAATTCAACCATAGTCTTCTATCAGTTAGATAGGATTTCCAATCTTTCGTTTTTCACATATTGATGGAGCAAATGTCCTTGTAGCTATGCATTTTGCACATGTCTGAGTATGTCTGTAATTAAATTCCTTCAGGCGAAACTGCTGTGTCTAAGGATAAAGTCATTTTAATTCTGATCGATATTATTATTCTTGGAGGTTGTACCTATGTTAGCTTCCATTGGCAAAGGTTGTGAGGGACGATTGTCCTACAGCTGAAACCAGCCCAATTGTCCCATAGAACTGATATTTATGGGTTTTTTGAATAAACATAGAAATTGACCCTCCGAGTCTTAAAATTTGAAACTTACATTTCTCTCATCTGAGTTTTTTCCTTAGGAAACTGTCAGGCAAGGGACTGAAATGCACCAGATCCCGGCATCTAGACAATGAGACACCAGACCCCTCGTTCGTCTTCCTTACTCTTCCTTACCTTCTTAGTCCAACTTTTTTTTCCACATTCTTTCCTCAGTCTATAAACCCCCAATTTTAGTCAGTTGAGGAGATGGATTTGAGACTTATTTCCCATTCTCCCAGTTGACATCATGAGAATAAAAAGCCTTCTGCCCTGGAAATACTCGTCGTTTCAGTTACTGGCTTTCTGTACGGTGAGCAACAGGATCCAGACCAAACTCCTGGTGTTTCAGTAGCAGAATCTTGAAAACAGAGTTATCTTTTATTTTCGCCAATTTGAAAGAAAATTTGAAAGATGTTATAACATCTTATAACAAACATTTTCAAACACACGGAGAAGCTGAAAGAATTATACAGTAAACAAATATATATCTACCACCTAGATTCTATGTTTTGCCGCATTTTAAAAATTTTGTCCTATTTACCCACCTATCCATCCTTTTAACTTTTTGAATGCATTTCAAAGATGCAAGCATTAATACACTTCACTTCAAAGCACTCCAGCGTGTGTATCATTAACTAGAATTCAGTATTTGTTTATAGATTTCTTAAAATGTAAAATTTACATATAGTGAAACGTACACATATTAAATGCATCATTTTTGAGATTTTACAGATGTATACACCCTGTAGCTCTCAGAGTAATTTTTATCTATCTTAGAGAAATTAAGCATCTTTGCATGTGTTTAAGATCCAGTTGTCCTTCCTCTTTTTGTGAATTCTCTGTTAATATCCTTTACCTATTTTTCTATTGGGTTTTTGGTATCTCTCCTTTTTGGCCTTGGAAGCAGAGTTGAAATAAATATGCTCATTTTATTAATTTTTATTTTATTACCGTTTTTTCCTTTATCCCTGATTCCCACTCCTATTTCTTACTTTCTTTCACTACCTAATTTTAGTCACTAGTATTAGCTAATTATTTACCTTTGTTCTTTTACATGTGCGTCAGTTTCTGTAATTTGAATTGTCAACTTTAAATGTATGCATTTTTATTCCCAGCTGCAAGGTATTAGGAAATTAGGGAGTTTATTCCAGTTTTCACCTCCTTTTCCCATTCTCTTTCCATTGACAGTTACTTCCATTATTTCTACACGGTTAGGGTATGTAACATTTATATGTTGTTTTTGCCCTTAAGTCTACCTTAGTTTTCATTCTGTTTTACAGTGACATCTATTTAAGGCTTCCCACCAGTCATTGTGTCTGTAATTGGTGGGTTCTTGGTTTCACTGACTTCAAGAATGAAGCCACGGACCCTAGTGGTGAGTCTTACAGTTCTTACAGATGGTGGGTCTGGAGTTTGTTCCTTCTCATGTTCAGACGTGTTTGGAGTTTGTTCCTTCTGGTAGGTTTGTGGTCTCGCTGGCTTCAGGAGTGAAGCTGCAGACCTTCGTATGTAAGGGCAGCGCTTCTGGAGTTATTGGGTCCTCCTGGTGGGATCAAGGTCTTACTGGCCTCAGAAGTGAAGCTGCACACCTTTGCAGTGAGTGTTACACCTGATAAAGGTAGCATAGACCCAAACAGTGAACAGCAACAAGAGCTATTGCAAAGAGCAAAAGAACAAAGACTCCATACCACTGAAGAGACCCCCAGCCCCTTGCTCCGGCGGCCTGCTTTTATTCCTTTATCTGGCCCCACTGACATCCTGCTGATTGGTCCATTTTACAGAGAGTTGATTGGACCTTTTGATAGAGTGCTGATTGGTGCCTTTATAATCCTTTAGCTAGACACAGAGTGCTAGACAGTAAAATTCTCCAAGTCCCCACTAGGTTAGCTAGATACAGAGTAGTGATTGGTGTATTTACAAACCCTGAGCTAGACACAGAGTGCTGATTGGTGCATTTACAATCCTTTAGCTAGACACGGAGCGCTAGCCAGAAAAGTTTTCCAAGTCCCGACTAGGTTAGCTAGATACAGAATAGTGATTGGTGTATTTACAAACCCTGAGCTAGACATAGGGTGCTGATTGGTGTATTTACAATCCCCTTAGCTAGACATAAAGGTTCTCCAAGTCCCCACTAGACTCAGGAGCTCAGCTGGCTTCACCTTGTGGATCCGGCACCAGGGCTGCAGGCCGAGCTGCCCGCCAGTCCTGCAGGTGCACCTGCGCTTTTCAGCCCTTGGGCGGGCCATGGGACCGGGTGCTGTGGCGCAGGGGGCGGAGCTCATCGGGGAGGCTCAGGCCGTGCAGGAGCCCACAGTGCAGTGGGGCCAGGCTCGGGCATGGCGGGCTGCAGGTCCCCAGCCCTGCCCCATGGGGAGGCAGCTGAGGCCCGGCAAGAATTCCAGCACAAGGCTGCCGGGCCAGCACAACTGGGGGACCCAGCGCACACTCTGCAGCTTCTGGCCCGGGTGCTAAGCCCCTCACTGCCTGGGCCCCGGCCTGCCACTCCCTGTGTGGGGCTGCTGAGCCCACACCCACCCAGAACTCGCGCTGGCCAGCGAGGGCCGCATGCAGCCCCAGTTCCCGCCTGCGTCTCTCCCTTCACACCTCCCCGCAAGCAGAGGGAGCCGGCTCCTGCCTCGGCCAGCCCTGAGAGGGGCTCCCACAGTGCCCTGGCGGGCTGAAGGGCTCCTCAAGCGCAGCCAGAGTGGACGGCGAGGCGGAGGAGGTGCCGAGAGCGAGGGCTGATAGCATGTTGTCACCTCTCACTTTGGCTGAAGTTTTTCTATCATCCCTTGTTTGGCTGTAGATTGTTGTCTAGCATGTCCTTCAGGAAGAGGTCATGTCAATTATATTCCCCAACGTCCTGTCTCCTTTGAAGGGAATGTACATTTTTCTCAGCCTGCTTTAAAGATTTTCTCCTTGTCTTTGGTTTTCAGCAGTTTTGCTGTGAATGTGCGTATGTGTGGTTTTCTCTGTATTTTCTTAGTGTTTGTACTACTTCTTGAATGTTACTTGATGTCAGCTTCTGAAAATTTTGGGCTCTTTCCCCTTTAAATATTCATTTGTTCCATTTTTTCTCTCTTCCCTTTCTGGTGCTCCAGGTACACTTAGACCTTTTCACTGTGTCACAATTTTGTTATGTTTTCTTCGTGTGTGTGTGTGTGTGTGTGTGTGTGTGTGTTTTTAATGCTGTAGTCTGAATATTTTCTATGGACTAACTTCAAGTTCATTAATCTTGTCTTTA